CATTGAGCAGTGGTCTGTAGTTCTCCTTGAAGAGGTCCTTCACATCCCTTGTAAGTTGGATTCCTAGGTATTTTATTCTCTTTGAAGCAATTGTGAATGGGAGTTCACTCATGATTTGGCTCTCTGTTTGTCTGTTATTGGTGTATAAGAATGTTAGTGACTTTTGCACCTTGATTTTGTATCCTGAGACTTTGCTGAAGTTGCTTATCAACTTAAGGAGATTTTGGGCTGAGATGATGGGGATTTCTAAATATGCAATCATGTCATCTACAAACAGGGACAATTTGACTTCCTCTTTTCCTAACTGAATATGCTTTATTTCTTTCTCCTGCCTGATTGCCCTGGCCAGAACTTCCAACACTATGTTGAATAGGAGTGGTGAGAGGGCATCCCTGTCTCGTGCCAGTTTTCAAGAGGAATGCTTCCAGTTTTTGCCCATTCAGTATGATATTGGCTGTGGGTTTGTCATAAATAGCTCTTATTATTTTGAGGTATGTTTCATCAATACCGAATTTATTGAGAGTTTTTAGCATGAAGGGCTATTGAATTTTGTCAAAGGCCTTTTCTGCATCTATTAAGATAATCATGTGGTTTCTGTCTTTGATTCTGTTTATATGCTGGATTACGTTTATTGATTTGCATATGTTGAACCAGTCTTGCATCCCAGGGATGAAACCCACTTGATCATGGTGGATAAGCTTTTTGATGTGCTGTTGAATTCGGTTTGCCAGTATTTTATTGAGGATTTTTGCATCAATCTTCATCAGGGATATTGGTCTAAAATTCTCTTTTTTGTTGTTGTGTCTCTGCTAGGCTTTGGTATCAGGATGATGTTGGCCTCATAAAATGAGTTAGAGAGGATTCCCTCTTTTTCTATTGATTGGAATAATTTCAGAAGGAATGGTAACAGCTCCTCCTTGTACCTGTAGTAGAATTCGGCTCTGAATTCGTCTGGTCCTGGATTTTCTTTGGTTGGTAGGCTATTAATTATTGCCTCAATTTCAGAGTCTGTTATTGGTCTATTCAGGGATTCAACTTCTTCCCTGAATGGAACAATGGTTTAGTCTTGGGAGAGTGTATGTGTCCAGGAATTTATCCATTTCTTCTAGGTTTTTTAGTTTATTTGCGTAGAGGTGTTTATAGTATTATCTGATGGTAGTTTGTATTTCTGATACCACATTTTCTTTATCCAGTCCTCCACTGATGGACACTTAGGTTCATTTCATACCTTTGCTATTGTTATGGGATCTGTGGGGTGTTGCTTTTCTGGCTGGCTGGCTGGAAATCTCTGTGGGCAGTGGTACCTTTGCCTGACATTTGCTCAGGCCTGCTTAGCTTGTTCCACCCACTTGACCTGGCAGGCTGTACTCAACTCACACTGCTGGCCTGGGTCCCATGCCTGCCAAAGGCAAGCCAGTCATGGAGCAGTGAGGGGTGTGTGAATGAGAGAACAGGGGTTTGGCCACTATACACAGTCTGCTGGCTGGTACAGTGGGACAGGCAGCTCCAGGTGCCAGCAGAGGTGCCGGCTCTCTGTGAGGCTGCAGTTGGACCAGGCACACTGCAAACAGCTTCCCCAGCTGGCATGGGGGAATGCAGTGGCACCTGGAAACTCAGAGATGCCAGGAAATGCAGGGCCCCAAAGAGGGAGTCACAGCCCCAATTCAGGAAGTTCCCAGGTCTGGACTCCCTGAAGTGCCGCAGCTCTTCTCTCCATCTCTTCTCCTGCAATGTGGTGAGCAAGGGGCATGTTTGAGCCCTGTCTGTGTTACAGCTCTTCTAGTCTTGCCATTCGGCAGGCCCCAAGTTCTTGTCCTGTGACCAGGAAGAATGAGGCACACACAGACAAGTAGAGGGTGAGCAAGATGAAGAGGAGCTTTATTGAGCAGTAGAACAGCTCAGAAATCCACCGTGGGTAGCTTCTTTCTGCAGCCAGAGTATCCTGACAAATGTTCAGCCCTCAGCAGAGACGAGGAAGTCCTGGGGTGGGTGGCTCCTCTCTGCTGACAAGTCATCCCATCATCTCTGCAGCTCTTAGCAGAGAGGAGGCCCTGGAGAGGGTTGCTCCTCTCTGCAGGCAGGTCATCCCTGGAGTGGGAAGCTCCTCTCTGCTTCTGGTTGTCCCAACATTCTCCAGCTGTCAGCAGAAAGGATAGCTCCTCTCTGCAGTTGGTCGACCTGTCGTCCGCCTTGCTCTGGCTGAGCCTGAGGCTCTTATGGGCCTCAGTGGGGGGAAGTGCATCCTGATTGGTCCATGGGCAGCCATGGGCAGTCCCAGTAAAAAACACTGAGTTCTTCCTCCATTCCACAGGACTGGCAGCCTGGTCCCCAGGCTTCAGGCCTTCCCTGAGCCTGAAGAAGAGACTTTGCTGGGGACCTTCCCTCTTCCACCCAGGAGCCTGTCTGCCTCCTGCAGACGTCCATGGTTCCCAGGCTGCTTGAACCAAGGGGAACCTGTAGGCCAGCACCGAGCTGCCCTCAGCACTTGCTCAGCTTCCCCTCCTGTGCTCCTTGACACCCAAAGCCCAGAGGGCGCTGAGGTAGCAGGGGACTGGCATGTCAGCACTGCCCCAAGTGTGTGCACGTGCAGCCAGGCTGTGAAAGAGCCCAAGTTCAGCCCCACCCTACTCTGAGATTGGAGCAGGCACCATGAGCAGGGAAAGGCCAGGCAGCAGGAGCAGACACCCCCAGCCTGTGGAGATGGGGGTAGGGCAGGTGGGCCTTCTGGGCCCCTGAGTTTACAGACTACAGAGACCCAGGAGGGTGAGGCTCTGGAGTAGGAGGCCTGACCTACCTCCCCACTGTAGCCAGGGTCTTGCCAGCAGGCACTCTAGATAGGCCACTGCTGCCATCACTCTTGTGAACAATGGTGCAATAAACAAGCAAGTACAGCTAGGTGTCTTTTTGATGTAATGCCTTCTTTCCATTTGGGTATATACCCAGTAGTGGGATTGCTAGCTTGAATGGTAATTGTATTTTTAGTTTTTTGAAAGTTGTTTTGATAACTAAATGAGACATTGTATCTGAAGAACACAGCACAGAGCACAGCACTTAGAAGATGTTCAGTCATTGTTATTGGTACAATAATCTCATTACGTGGAGAGGATTATTTCTTAAAAATTTCCCAGTCCTTCCTGCTCTAAATCCTCCCTCCTGGTGGCCATTCTGGTTTTGCATAGTTTTAATGTGTAAGCTTAGAGACTCCCTCAGGAGGCGGAAGGCCAGAGACTCTTCTTACTTGGCAGAGGTCTCCTTTCTGTGCCCTCCTCCTCCAAACATCCTCTCAAGGCTTTTGACTGGAAATTCCCAGTTCAAAATTGAAGAGTAAAAGAAGATATTGCACCCATTTCAGACTCATGAAGATGAATTGTTAATCCCCTTTCAGAGGAAATAAGGCAAAGTATGCTTAGTGATTCCTTAGAGAACAAAGACCGTGCTAGTGAGAAGTAGATTTTCTCCTGGAGGACTGGCAAAAAAAAACGGGGGAGTGGGCCGGGCATGGTGGCTCACACCTATAATCCCAGCACATTGGTAGGCCAAGGCAGGCGGATCACGAGGTTAAGAGAGAGAGACCATCCTGGCCAATAAGGTGAAACCCTGTCTCTACTAAAAATACAAAAATTAGCCAGGCATCGTGGTACATGCCTGTAGTCCCAGTTGCTCGGGAGGCTGAGGCAGGAGAATCGCTTGAACCCAGGAAGCAGAGGTTGCAGTCAACCGGGATCGCATCTATGCATTCCAGCCTGGGTGACAGAGTGAGACTCCA